CACGCTTATTGGGGTGCATACACCCTGGTGCAAGCTTCACAGGGTGCGTGTGCCCTGGTGCACACTTGCTGGGGTGTATACACCCTGGTGCAAGCTTCGCAGGGTGTGTGCACCCTCGTGCACGCTCGCCAGGGTGCAAACCCCCTGCTCCATTGCACGCGGGGCACGTGCTGCCTCTGCGGAGCTCTGCCAAGTGCGAATGAAGGAAACGGGGCAGGAGCTTCCTCGGAGCCTCTGCAGGCTGGGAACTCAATCGCACAGGGTGTTGCTAACGAAGCATGCCCTCTTATTAAAAATTATCCAAGGATTTGATCTGCAGAAAGAGCAGAGAAAGTCTTTAAAAGGGGAAGCCAGAAAAATTTTGTGTCCCAGCACGTGGCAGCGGTGAAAATGGCTGCACGTGCAGCGGGGGGGGCTGTGCAGGACATGGGTCGTCCGTCTGTCCTGGGAGGCAATCTTGGTGGGGGTGGGGACCCCGTTTTGGCCGGGCATCCCTAACCTGAGCCCGCTGCAGGTGTGGTACATGGACGGTTACTACAAAGGCCGCCGTGTCTTGGAGTTTCGGACCTTGAACGACTTCGTGACGGGACAGAACTTCGTGCAGCATCTCCTGCCGCATCCCTGGGCCGGCACCGGCCACGTGGTCTTCAACGGGTCCCTCTACTACAACAAATATCAGAGTAACATCGCGGTGAAGTACCACTTCCGCTCCCGCAGCGTGCTGGTGCAGCGCAGCCTCGCCGGCGCCGGCTACAACAACACCTTCCCTTATTCTTGGGGTGGTTTCTCTGACATCGACTTCATGGTGGACGAGAGCGGGCTGTGGGCTGTCTACACCACCAACCAAAATGCCGGCAACATCGTGGTGAGCCGGGTGGACCCCACGACGTTGGAGGTCCTGCGGAGCTGGGACACGGGTTACCCCAAACGAAGCGCTGGAGAATCCTTCATGATCTGCGGCACGCTCTACGTCACCAACTCCCACCTTGCCGGTGCCAAGATCTATTTTGCCTACTACACAAACACTTCCAGCTACGAATACACGGATATTCCCTTCCACAACCAGTATTCCCACATATCCATGCTGGACTACAACCCGCGGGAGAGGGTGCTCTACACCTGGAACAACGGTCACCAGGTCATCTACAACGTCACACTCTTCCACGTCATAAAGACATCGGGTGAGCTGTGACCCCGCGCTGGACTCCTCTGCTCTCCCTCCCCAGCTCTTTATTTTTTCTACACTTCAGCCTCAGCCATTCTCTTAAGGGGATGGAGCCTTCCTCCTCCTCCTCCTCTTTGATTTATGTTTTTTTATATTTCTTTGTTTTCTTCCCGCGGTTCATGGCGCATGGATCTCTTCTGCCTTCATTTGAGCTGACCTCGGTTGGTTTTTTTTGGTTTGGGTTTTTGGTTTGTTTTTTTTTTTTTTCCCCCAATTTACATCTTTATTTTGATGGCAAATAAAAACGGTCTCTTTGACATTTGATGGGGCTTGTGCTGATATATTTTTTTTTCCCCAGTTTTTTTTTTAAATTATTATTATCAGTCACTTGATGGCTTGGTTTCCCCCCTTTTCCTGCATCCCCTCTGCCAGTGGATGCCAGGAGCTGGCTGTAATCTGCAGCCCTCTCCTCCAGATGTGCGCCGGCAGCCAGCGACGTTGTTTATGGGCATGTTTAATGCATGCGGGTGCGGCGCTGGGGAAATTACAGCAGAGCTGGGCGAGGTAAGGAGGAAGGGAAGGGAAATTACAGTGCAGCTGCAGCAAGCAGTGGGGGAACAGCCCCTGTAAGGGAGGGAGCAGACCCTGCATGGGTGGCTCGTCCCAAAATGAGCACTCAAGGAAGCCGGGGCAGAGAGGTCTTGGCCCTGGGGGAGAGAAGGAACCTGCTGCCCAGAGGTGAGGAAGGCTGGAGGGGACGTGGGGGGAATGTGGAGGGGAGGGAGGAGCTGAGGTGGGGATGGAGGAGAGGAGGGGATGGAGGAGATGTGGAGGAGATGGAGGATCTGTGGAGGGGATGGAGGAGAGGAGGGGATGGAGGAGAGGAGGGGATGGAGGAGATGTGGAGGAG